ATGAAGAAGAGAACGTTGACGGGGCACAAATTTAGTCATTGTCAAGATAAAATATCAAAGATAGTTGGTAAGTACCTAACTATGTTTGGGTTTTTCTATTAGGGGAGTTACTCAATTTTGAATGTAAATAGTAGGTCATTTTCTTGAGTCTTTTATTTTTATAAGAAAAAAATATAAAAATGTGAAAACTTTTTAAAATTTGCTAATAACGATTTTTGGTAAAAAAAAAAATATGATACTTTTTAGTACTTAATTTTTTTTTATTATTTAGTAACTTTTCTACTTATATTATCACCATTTTTAAATTTTAAATTTTTATAATTTATATATATAATATTAACATTTAACGATTAAAAAAAAGGAAATTAGTATTGAAAAATGATAATTTATGATAAAATAGAAGAATTAATGTCAATGCAACAAGCCAATTGCAATTTGCTCTGTGTCATCCTCTCTTAAATTGGGGTTAGAAGTTGGAGGTTGAATGTCGAAACCTATAGTGCCTTAGGAAATCGGGCACATTTCAAACAAAATAGAGTTAATGTTGTGACACAGGTGTAGACACTCCACACCACTTCTCTTTAATTTGTTTCTATTTATTTATTTAGGTATAACATATTTTTTTTATTATTAAAATTTATTATAAATTAAAAAAGTGAAAGTGAGAAAGTGAGAAACATTAATTTAAATGTGTGTTAGAAAAAATAAACAATGTTAAAGATAGTGTGTTAGAAAAAAAAATGTAAACTTTTCATTTACATGAGTTGTGGATATTCATAAATATTTTGTGAATTTAAAAGTTGTAAAATATTTTTCTTTTAAAATTTATAAAAATTAATTAATATCATATAACATCGATTATTTTTTATTAAAATAATAATTATAAAATAAATAAAATGAGTAATTATAGGTGTTTGGATTATAATACCTACCATAGTCTTTGAAAACGATCCTTCCATAAGAAATGCAATACCTGATTATTTAGGGCACATGTGAAAGGGTTATCAATGGACTAAGATGGATGTAGATAATACTTTTCCTTGTATATTAATTATTATTTAGTGAATATTCATTCTTGTGTACAACAAACATTAATGAATTTTAGTAAATATTTTATGAATTAGAAGAATAAAAAAAATTAACATCATATAATGTTATTATATATTTATTCACAAAAATATCAGAAACGCAAAGGACTACCTCTCATGCTATCCTGCTTAATTCATGCAAATATTTATAACCAAAGATACTTTTATTGTTTTTAAAATTATATTTAGTAGGAAAATTTTTCTCTTCCTCTTTAAATTAATAAAAAATTGTTTTAATTTAAACTGTGATTTTAAGTTTAAGTTTCAACAAATGCAATTGTATTAAATATTTAAAAAGAGATGGTCTGTCAAAATAGGTAGATTAAGTAAATTAATTTAGATATAATTTATGTAAATTTCTACATAAATTTTTCTAAAAAAATATTATAAATTTTTTATAAATTAAAAATAATTTATCTCATCAAATTTTAAGAGGTTAAATTAATTTATAAAATAAACAAAGAAACATAAATTAATTTTAATATTTATTTTTCTATATATTTTAACTTTTATAAACATTTATTCAAAAGTTTATCTTTAAAAACTATTTTAGCAAGTATCTCTCGAACTATTTTTTGAGTTAAGAAAAAAAAATATACAACAGAATAAAATAAAAATAATATGATTTAGATGAATAGAAATAAAATTTGTATTAAATAAGTCAAAGAAAATATAAAAATATAGAAGAATTATAAGAGACGTCTGCTCACCTTCTTATAATTCATAAAGAAAGTTTTGTGACATAAATGACTTCACAGTCACATGTGCATTGTTTTACAATTGAATTTCATTTCAAATTATTATAAATTTTAAACCCCTTTTTTTAACATTTACAGAACACATTACAATGTTGACAAATTTTATTTTTCAATATTTTAACTGATAGATGATAGATATGCAAATTTTTTAAGAAAATTTCTTATAATTAGTTACAAATCATTTTGTTAACAGTTTTTTTTTTAAATATTTGTAATTATAATAATCTTTTTTTGTGTAATACCATGTATGCCTATAATCAAACTGAATCATTAAGCTAAATATTATGATTTGTTTGTTTTAAAGTTATAAAATTAATTTTATTAAAATTCTTTACTAACTTTTTAATTAATATTGTTTTTATTATTACTCTTATTTAAATAATAATTATTTTTATCTAAATTACTATTTTTTAATCTTATAACCATATTAATAATAATACATACTTTGACAAAAAAAATAAAAATCTTTAAATAAAAATTCTCTTAAATCGGTGAGGTAAATTTTAGGTGCATTACTTGATATGGGAGATGTAATGCCTTTTATTAAAAAGAGAAATATTCATTATATTTTTATAATTTTAATACAATAATTGTATACTTTTTTTATAAATTTTTTTATTTGTGAATACTTAAATTTAGTCTTAAAAGTTGAGTTTAACAAAACTCTTAAAATACAATAAGTTTATATTTTAGAAAGAATTATTTTCTCATCAATCTTTGAAAATAATTCTTTAATTAATAAATTACATTTTAATTATGAATGTATAAACTCGATAATAGTTACATGACCTAGCCATGAAAGCACATTAACTTGAGTTGACCATAAAAGCACGTTTTAATTTCTTTATTATTTTTATGTTTTACTTAAAATTTTAAATATGATCCAGAAATTAAAAACTTAATGACAGAAGTATTATATGCTTTACATGGTTTTTAATTCTACATTAACTTTCTAAAGTCTTAAATAATAAAAAAAAAGTTTCAGATTAAAAGGGTAATAGTGCAAAGTAAAAAATTATTCAGCAAAACTCTAATTTTACATTAGTGTCCTTCTTGATCTTCTTTACCATCTTATCTCCCTTACTAAAGATAGAGCTATCATACATTGCATCTACTTTTGCATTAAAAAAATATTGAATTAATTAGAGCTACTTTATTAAAACTTTTTGCATTGAAAAAAAATATATTAAAGGACAGGCACCTTGTAATGATAATAATTCTGTTTTACTAGTCTTTAACACAATAAAAAAATAATTTTATTAATTGTAATATATTTTCGATATAGCAAATCAAAATCAATCCACTATTTTGAAAAGCAAAAATAATCATGGCCCATTGAATTTTAAAAAATGCTGGACCTAACTAGACAAGACTTACTTTTGTCCCTGCCAAATATTATTACTTTCTTTCCTTGTGACTAGTTCAAGTATGTATATGAATTGAATTGGAGATGTTTGTCGAAACTCATTAGTCAATGAAAATGCTTTGTTATTAATTAAAAAATGTCAGAAGTGGGATTTGAACCCACGCCCTCTCTCGAAGACCAGAACTTGAGTCTGGCGCCTTAGACCACTCGGCCATCCTGACATTCGATTTTGATAATTATTATGAAATTAAATGTTATTAATATTAATATACTACTATTTTCATTAAGCAAAAAAAATTTAAGCCACAAAGCAATTATTCATGAATCGTGGGTACATATTTTCTTCTTTTAAATAAAAATATTTATATTTGTATGGTTCTTTTTATTTTTTAAATTAAAAATAAAAATTAGTAGAGTCAAGGTAAGGTTATGTAGCCTCAAAGGATTGTTTTGTTAGGCTCAACTTTTTGGAATAAGCACTGTTGCTAGGCTCATATTAGGGAATTAAGGATTAGATTGGTTTTTAAAAATAAGTAAAATTAATTTAAAATTGTTAAATATAATTAGAATGTATACCTAAATTAATATTAATTATCAATTTTTTTTATTAAAATGTATATCACCATAAAATGATTTGATCTTAAATGGTTTTTGGAAAAACACCCAAGGCCTCTTTGACAAACCATGAAAAACAATTTATTTATCTCTAAAATTTTTAAATAGTTTTAAAATTTATAATTGAGATAATTTTTGTGTATAAATTATATGTATTTTGAATGTTTTTCTTTTGAATGTTTAATACAATTATATTTACTAGTTTCATGTATTAGATAACACATTTAATATTAATTTAAATATGTATTTTTTATTTAATAATTTAAAATTAAATATACCAAGCTTTAGATAAAAATAGAGGAAAAAGTTCAATTTTTTATTAAATTTAAAATTTTCAATTAGTATAAAACATATTTTATATAATATTTTTTTACTCTTCCACTCATTTAAATAAGTGAAAAAATTATTCACTTTTTTTTATAAAATTTTTATCCATCTAAATAGCACATTTAAAAAAAAAAAAATTTATATCTCCTATTTCTTTTCTTTCTTATTTCACTCCTTGTTTAAACAAAGTGAAAACTCACTACAAATTTTTATACTAATCGCATGTTTGGATCAGTAGCAAAAACCGTACACAGGTTTCTTCTTTAATAGACGTTACTCTCAGCAGGATTAAGGTTGAAGTGCATTTAGTTTATATCAACGTGAATCTAAACATACGCTATATTGTCAAATATTAATAAACAAATTCATCCATTAAAAAAAAAACAAAAACAAGTTATTTTCACTTTCAAAAGATCAAACCGTATATTAAATTTTTATATAATTAGGTGCAATAAAATTTACAAAATGATATAAATTTGCTTAAATTTATTTTCATTTATTAGGAGACATCTAATTTATTCCTATTTATATTTAGGAAAACATATTATTAAGTTATTCATTTAGAAACATTTCAATAAATTTAAAGTTATATATTAGCATCATACTCCCCAGGAAATGATTGAGATTTGAGAGAGAGTATTTTAATAAATTAAAATTTATGATTTGCTAACATATTTCTTCTAGAATATATTTCCTCTTGAGCAATTCATTCATAATTGATCCAAGAAATGCATGCAGCAAACGATCAACATAAATGTTGATGACAAAATTACCAGCTAGCCATTGAATATAACAAAAAGGGCTTAAAAGAAGAAAGCCAGAAACCCAAGAAAACAGTGTTCACTGCTAATAAAGAATTCCTCTAGTACACTTTTCATTCAAGATATGATCAGTCTCTGGCATCAAAATACTCATTTGGTGAAACTCACTCTGAAAAGTCCTCTTAGGCAATTCACAAATGTACCTCTCAAAATCAGACCTTACACTATCAAAATAATGACTTTCCCTTTGAGCTGTTCTACCAAGTGCTTCTTTCAAATAGTTGATGTTACCATTCAAAGTCCTTCTTGGTATTTCATCAATGTATCTCCCAAAGTCAGACCTTGCTCTATCAAAATAATAACTTTCCCTTTGAGCTGTTCTACCAAGTTCTTCTTTCAAATAGTTTGAGGAGCCACCATAGATGTTACCATTCAAGGTCCTCCTTGGTATTTCATCCATGTAACTCCCAAAGTCAGACCTAACTCTATCAAAATAATAACTTTCTCTTTGAGCTGTTCTATCAAGTTCTTCGTTCAAATAGTTTGAGCAGCCACCATAGATGTTACCATTCAAAGTCCTTCTTGGTATTTCATCAATGTATCTCCCAAAGTCAGGTCTTACTCCATCAAAAGAATAACTTGCCGTTTGAGCTGTTGTTCTACCAAATGCTTCTTGCAAATAATTTGAGCTTCCACCACAGACATGATAGCCTTCATTTCTAGCACCAAGTGATAAGGGAATAGTATCTATTGTTCTAACACGGTCTGTATCAGAATATCTAACATTAGTTGATTGTGGCCATGGTTGCAAAGATTGCAATGGCTCCATTGGTTGCAATGATCTTTGAGGTCCTAAGTTCACACCATGAAGAGCAGAAGGAGCAGTTTTTCTATATACTTCACCCACATTACTTAAGTAGCCTCCAGTGATTGAAGTGTGTCTATTTGTTAAGCCAAATATTGATGTTACTACTTCATTCATTTTTGGAATGCGACTTGTATGAGGATAAAAGTTATGAACTGAAGTAGGCAATAGCTCCACAGCATCCTTAATCTCTTGTAATGGAAGAATTTTCAGTTGTTTAGTAACCACCATTTGATTTCTCTTCGTATGGTTTCGTGTAGCTTTAGGATTGTAAATAAATTTAAATGTGCAGCACTTACCAAGTGGAAAGGGTTCATCACATCTATTGCCATGACCTCTCTTATTGTCGTAACCCAGGTAATCTTCTTTCTTAAAATCAGCACACTCAATCAATGTCAAAAAACTTTGTGTAGCAAGTTTCACTATGTTCCAGTTGCTAAAAGGAGCTGTAATTTTATGACTAACATGAATTTCACCATCAGCTCGAAGCATGCAACTCGCGTTCTTGAAGAAACCAAGCACAAGGTCTTTATGCATCCTGTAAATTCACAAGGAAAGACACACAATAACATAAAGGGATGATAAGAATTTCATGCTTAAAAACCTTAGTATGATAAACAGAGAAATTTAACATAACAAAATATATAAACCAGCAATTCTGTGAAAACTAGAAAGGTGCAGAAACTTGCTACACAGTTTCTATTTCATATTTTAGCCTAAGATCAGCATAGCAGATCCAAGAATGTTACAAACGTATATTTTGGTCTATAAAAAGTATTCAAGACATTAATCAGTTATGAAATTGAATTGTACTAGAAAGCTCACTTAATAATTAATGGGTCATCTTCCTTCCAATAATCTGCATGAGGAAAATTGAATATAACTCGATCAAACCTCTGCTTTTTTAAATCTGAATGGAGCTTCATTTTGGTTGCATCCACTCCATGTAACAAGCATGCTCCCATATTTTGTAAGTCATCTAAATTTGACTTTGCATTCTTGTACATCTTTGTAACTTCATCTACATGAATAGGGAGAGTGAGTATAGATGACCAAAGTAAGGCCAAAGCATTTTGCAGTGCCACAAATATAATGACACTAATTATGAGTGTGGTTGACAAATGTAGGTAAGAAAATAAAACGGGCAGAAAATAGTGGAGCAACAAGTAACGTAGCATTTGGCTTTTGAACAAATGAGTTCTATCAATGACTCTAGAAATATCCTGATTTTCACTTATCAGTTTTTCATCTTCCCATTTTCACTCCTAACAAGAACGTTCAATCAAAACCAGAGCATAATAGATATACACAGTAAACAACATAAACAAGCACTACTAAGAATCAATAAGAAAGTATTTAAGTCACATTAACTAATCCAACGCAAAGTTGCAAATGGCTACAATAGCAAGAGAAAACAAGTCCAAATAACAAAATAAAATATCTTCATTTTACTATAAACGTTACAAATTTAAAAGCTATAACCTTGGTCTGATACTAGATTCAGCATTGCTTTACTTATTAACAGTATTTCCATTAGCTACAACTTTCAACTGGGTTTGATCGGTATGCTTGAAAAAAATTGTGTGAAAAAAAAAATTATGAAGAAGAGCAAAAACAAAGAAAAGGGTGTTTTATGAATATAAATTTTGATTAAAATAAGGGGAAAGTATCAAATATTCTTCCCCATCAATAATATTCTATTCTAATGAAGCAAAGCAACTTCTGCTTTCTTATATATCTATCCAAGGTCAAAACTTCAACATTGAAACGTGCTTCAGAAAGCAAAATGCACAAGCACCATTAAAAGGGTCGGAGAGAGAGAGAGAGAGAGAGAGAGACCAAATGAGTTAAGAGAGGTTGCTACGATGTTGGAAGCAGAAGCAAAAGACTTGGCCAGACAAAGGGAGAAGGAGAAATCACCCTCACCCACCAACAATATTTGATGATCACTACAATAATGGGTTACCCATTTTGCATCCTCTCCTACTTCTTCTTGTTCCATCTCAACTTAGCTTGGTTATTCTCACTCTCCTTGTTCTTTGTTTCTACTTAGAATGCAAGTGCATGCATTTCACCTTTACTGAATATTTCTTTAGGATTTATATCATTAATTTTAAAAATTGATTCCTTTTTAAACATTAACTTTTAACATCGTTAACTTTTTAATTAAGGTAATTTTCACGATAGTATGAATAATTATTACAGTTAATTTTAAAATAAATATGTATAATAAATAATAATAATAATTTATTTATTTTAAAAAACGTAAATATTCATTAATATAAAAGAATTACAGTTTCAATCTAAACATAATATTCGTTAATTTTTATTAACATTAACTCTAATGATAGCAATCGTTTCAAATGATAGCAAATGTGATTTGAAATAGTTGGTCCACCGACGGAGAGAGAGGGCATTGTTGATTTGTTGCCCCCCTCAAAAGCTTTAAAAGATTGAAAGGTTAAGTTGAAATTATTATTTTTTGACCCGAAAAATAAATATTAATGTAGAGATTAAATACTTATAAAAAGTGCTAATAAATGTACTATGATTTTTAATTAAGATTTTTTAAACGTTAACAAGTTTTTTTTTAATCTTTTTTATGTATTTAACTTAATTTATGATAAAAGTTATTATTTATTAACGAGTCTCGTTAACCAATATTCTAAGTATGGACTTGCAAGCAATTTTTTTTATTATAAATTACATTAAACTATAATAAAGTTAAGAAAAATGTGTGTATTAACATTTTCAAACAATTTTTTTTTTTCATTTTTAATTCTTTAACTATTGCCTTTAAAACATTAATTAATATTTATTTATTAATTTTTTTTACCTAATATCCAGAAAGATTTTATTATTATTATTATTTTTAGTATTTTTTTATAGATTAAATTAATGTAAAAAAAATAAAGATTGTTATTCCAATAATGCATTTTATCTTTTAAAATTATAAGTATCGATTAATTCAGTTTTAAAATTATTAAAATATTATTTTAATTTTCAAAATAGTCTTAAAATTTTAATTGAAATATACTGACAGTATATTTGTTTTATGCTGTCATCTAATCATAAATTATCATATTAATAATTTTAAAATTTTTTTGTATTAACTAATATAAAAAATCATAAACTCGGTGTATTCTAATTAATTGAAGGTGTAACAATATTAAAATTAAACTCATAATCTTATATCAATAATTTGAGTTCATATTCTTAAAATTTTTTAATAATTTAAGAAATAAATAGTACTTTTATAATTTTAACAATTATTATTTTTTATAATTTTAGAGGTTAATTTAGCGTATTATTCTATTTCCCACATCGCTGTCCCCTCTCTTCCTTTTACTTTTTGTAAAGTGATTTGATATTTAACAAAGCATGATAAAAGTAACAAAAAGTGACGTGAGGCAAATACTTTTATATTTCTATTATATTACAATTATATATTATGTGCATTTATCAAAAATGTAAAAGGTTATTATAACCATTAACTAAATTTCTAATTATAATAATAGACAAATATATCTTTCCGATATGTTATAAATAGAGAATATGAAAATCTGGAAAATAATCAAAATATAAGATATGAAGACCCATCTCCCCAAAAAATAAAAATAAAAAACGTTAAAAACTAGCAGAATTACAAATCATCAAAGACATACATTACTTTTTTAATATGAGATATAAGATAAATAAATTTTCAACATACCAATATATTTAGATAGTTAAGATTAAAATATTTTAATAGCTACACATTTATTTAAAAATATCAATTAACTTAATTTTAATGATTCATAATTAGATATAAGGATTAAAGGCAACAAAAAAGAAAAAAAATAGATAAATCTCTTATACAAAGATTCAGAGAGACTGTGAGAAAAAAAAAAAAGAGAAAAAGTCAAAGCAACTATATGACATATGGTGATAATTATGTTTAAGACACCTAAAAACGTGAAAGAGGAATAATTAAATTTGGCTTCTTGTGTTCTAATCAAAGATTATAAAAATTAAAGCCTAATTCAATTTGTTAGCTCAATCCTTATTTTTAATATCATTTTGAGTTAAAACTTTATGTTTTAATTATGTGATTTATTATATTTTAGGTTAGTAGATTGGACCAACAATTAATATAAAATTCATGAATCTATCCTTAAACTAGTTAAATTACATCTTAGAAATAGATTTACATCATAGAAAGTGTTTCTTGTTTTGAAAATTTTGAAATTCAATATTACCAAAATAAGGTGAAAGAACGTTTTAAAACATAAAATGCTATCAAGAAACATTGAAAAAATATTATTATTTTATGAGATATAATTATTAGATAATTTGAATGAAATTAAAATTTAAATAAGACAAATAAGAAAATTTTAAAAGATGAAAAAAGAGAGAAAAGAAAGTGGCACAATTTCAATTCAACGTAGAACAGAATGATAAACTTGACATAGAATCACTGCAAAAATATAAAAAAGCCTTAATAAGATACAAATAATAGTTTTTTTTAGAAACCATCCTAAAAGACATATAAGCTCTCTCGAAGATAATGCTTAATTGTAATTCAAAACTAATTTTTTTTAAAAAAAAAATCAATTTTACATGAGTATTTATAATGAAAAATGAAACTTTAAAAGATTTTATGAATTGAAAGTTGTTTACAACTCAAAAGAGAATGTGGGTAATTCCTGTGCTTGATTGAATATTCAATCTAGTGACGTCAATATACCCTTCTTCTCTACTATGCAGCAATAATGTTCATCAATCTTGTCAATCTTGTTCACTCACGGATTTCGTTCATCATGAAATCTAAGAAATTTTACTCAATTTAATTATAAATTAATAGATTAGTTTAGATCGGATTAAAAATATTGAAATTTAACTAAATTCAAGTTAAGTTCTAATTTATAATATTAAAATTTAATATAATTTAATAATTCATCACATATGAACTTTATGAAATATTCTTTATATTTATAAAAAATTATTTAAAGTATAAGAATTAATTTATAAATATATTAAAAATCATTCTACAAGAATACAAAGTACACTAAACTTAATTAAGAAAAAATTTGTATTATAATTTTTGATAGACTTGTCTAAAAAAAATTAAAAGTGAAGTATATCAAATAAAAAAATTATAAATTTTAAAAGAATACAAACTTATGTTTTTAAATAAAAAATTAGTATTAATAATTCAAAATCATACTTATTTATTGATATAAATTTTTTTTATTTTGTAAATGTATAGATCACCTCAAACTATTTTTGGGAGAAATTTAGACTTAAATAAATAAAAAATAAAATAGTTGAGTAGGGCTTCTATCACTTTCCCTCTATAATATAGAGATGAAAGAGTTCCATCACACGTTTACTTTCTGAGGTTAGTTGACTCAGTTATGTGTGATTATGAGCTGTCATGCTAGTTTGAAGTTTTTTATATTAAAAAAAAATAACAAGCAAAGCTTATATTATTAATTGAAATCGACTATGAATCACGCACAATGTTATTAAATTCAATTAAAAATCAATTTTTTAAATATTATTTACTAAAGGGTTTCTTAATCTCATATTTAACAATCAAACAGCTGCCATCGATGACGCTGAGTTTCTCTGACTTTAAGGGTTGCATGTGATAACTGATCAACTCCAATATTAATTCATAGTTTGCATTTTTATTATAAAATATGCATTCCCATTCTCTAAAATAATATTAATTGCAACTATGTCTTTTTTAGTATTTTTTAAAGCATAAATTGAAGTTTTAAATCTCTGAGGCACAATTATAAGTATCTTTTGGACTATCTTTCGTTCAACACCAAATAGTCTTACTTGATTGGCAATATTAAGAAGTTATTCGGAATATTCTTTAATTTTTTTGACTTTTTTATTTTCATTGCTTCAAATTTTTGAATAAAATTAAGCACTTTCATACTTTTAATTCATTTATTACCTTGATATTTATCTCGAAGATAAAACTAAATGGGAATGGCATGAGATGAGTCCAGATTCATAATTATGGTAAAAATTGAGGATGAAATAACACAAATATATATATATATATATGTAGCTTTTGCTTTTGACTTTTTGTTTTTCTTTCTTCGTGGTTATTGATTTGTGTCATTGTGGGATTATTTGATAAAGCTGAAATATAAGAACTAGTTTATGCTACAGCTTCTTCCCAAACATTCACAACCTCAAGATAAGTTTCCATACTTACTGCCCAAATCTCATAATTGTTCCCATTAAAGATCAGTGAACCTATTTGAATTAAATCAGCTTTAGTATTCACTAACAACTAGTGAAAAGAATTTAATTAATAAGATATTCTTTGACTGATTAAAATAAATAAATAAAAAAACTCTAACAACTTTTGAAAGGCATGTTTCAACAATATAAAATAATAAAATAGTTGAACTAAGCTTCCGATCACTTTCCCTTCTTGTAACCCTAATATAGAAGATTAAAGGTTTCCATCAGGCGTTTACTTTGTGAGGCTAGTTGAACAAGTTTATGTGTGATTATGCTGTCATGCTAGTTTGGGATTTTCTGTATTAGAAAAATAAATAAATCAAACAGCTAGTATCGATGACGCTGAATAGAATTCTGACTTTAAGGGTTGCATTTGATCAACTCCAATATTAATTTATAGTTTGCTTGAATATTAGAATCTCATGCAGTTTGAACTTTAAACTCTGGTTTTCCTCGACCTAGTAAGTTTCCCATTTCTGTAAGTATCCCTCTCTTCAATTCAATATCTTTTGATCCATAATGGTTTAGATTTTGTTTGTGTGGCTGAAAATTGAACTGCTATACATGATTGAAAAGTTCGTTTGTTCTTTTTCATTGAGATTGAAAAATCTTCGCATTACAACATTTAGGGACTCTAACTTACGTGTTTTCTTAAATTTCGTAACAATTCAGGGATTTTAATCGTGTTACAAATCCATTTGAGTAAGAATTTACAAATCCATTTTGTTTGTGCTAGCTATTTCCTTGAAGTTTTGCCATATAACAAAGAGAAATTATATTTATATAAAAACATTATAACTAATTATACTATAAAA